CTCGATGTTAGAGACTTTCTCCACAAACGTTGCATGATCGATTATTTGCAAAGTGACAAACCAATTAAGAATCCGACTTGTTCTCAATTGGTACGAGGTAATTTATCACATGGTGAGATAATGATATCTCATGATATGTTGATGTGGTATCACTAAATCAATCGAAATATTTTTATTTTTAGAAAATCTAATTTATTGCCATCGGTGGTGGGAGTGACTTTTTGGGGCTGGAATGTCGATAGAACTTCGGGAGAGCAAACAAAAACCCATTTTTTGTGTCTCACTTGATTCACTGGGTAGGACCATGATTCTAATAATAGTATTACTTATAATAAAGATATCTCAGTTTTCCAACAACATAGTTTATTAAATTGGGATGCAAATTGTCAATCGGAACCTTAAAACGATGAATCGTATCGTGGATCGGAATCAAATTGAATCGTAAGAGTATTTAGCAAAACACTTCAATTTAAAGAAGTACTATTTAATATGAATATATTAGCGGGATCCATGCCTTATAATAAAGATATCTCAATTTTGAGTACATGTTATGAATACTATGCATAAATAGATATTGTCACTTGCTACCTTTTAAACCGAAAGATTACATTGAAGATCATGGCAAATTCTTAAAAGCGTTATTATTTTAAATTATTATTTTAAATTATTATTTTAACTACATAAACAATATCCATCATAAAATACGAAAAGACAAGGCAGCATCATTTTGTGGTAGATATGTCAAATTAAAAATATTCATGAGCAAGTCCATGGAATTTTTTCTCGCAATTCAATAAATTGTAGGTTCACATAATATTAGATACATTATTCAGATTAAAATCAAATTGTAAGAAATAGATCGGAATCAACTGATTCTCAGCCTAAGGCAATTGTAGTTGATCATTTTATCCGGTCAATATCTTTCAACCGACCAACATAATGGGGAAATTGTCCAAATCAATCCTAAACTTATTGTGCGAATGTCAATTCAGTACTAAAATATCAAATTTTGCCAATTTAGTAATAAACCTTCAACAAAATTCTAATGTAGTCCTTACGGTCAAATTTTGCAGGGAATTGCCGATGTGGTAGTGTGCCGTGTAAGACGGTCAATGACTACTGGACCACCACATCAGCGATTTCTTGTGAAAATTGACTGGAATGACTACATTAAAAATTTTACGCAAATGTTTAAGACTAAATTTACAAAATTGAAAAGTGCTGTACTAAATCGGCATCCGTGCAATAGGTTTAAAATTGATTGGATAATTTTCCCCCAAAATAATACCAGAAGGGAGATATTTAAGAGACTATTTGTCTTTATGGTTTCTTACAAATAATATTAGTTGTGTCTTTTGTAAAACATTGTTCTTGAAAATATGAATTCTGAACTCTTGGTGTTTTTTCTAAAAAAGAAAAATTGAGATCATGGAGTATAGTAAATTACTATTAAGTATATTTTATCCTGAAAGGCAAATGCTAGAGGACAACAGCTTCTACTTCTGGCTTTTACAAATAAATTTTTGACGCCAAAAAGTTACGGGTAAAGAAATCCCAAAAAAGTTTCTAAAATTATCACTACATTAAAATAGCTTTAATTTGACTAAATTTAACTTATTGAAATTAAGATGAAGGTGGATATGTGTGGTCAGTTCCAAATAAATTTTAATCTCAAAAAAAGTTTTGACAATATACGATAGATAAAGATAAGAAAGAGATTAGGAGAATTAGATATTTAAAATTTGATGAAAGTTAGTTCCTTAAAAAATTATGAGAAATGTAGATTATGCAATGTCAGTTCCATATAGATTCTAATGATTCATACAGAATAATAACCCGAATAATCCTCTTCGGATTAATTTTTCTCATGCTAATATCAAATATTTAGTGGTGGAAACTTATTAACTTTTTGTCTCCTTTTTAGTAAATTCTCAAGTTTAAATTCAGTCAACCATAAGTTAGTTAGTAACTTTTAAACATGGTTTGTCATTCTGTGCACACCAAAGTGACCATTTTTTTTTCCATATTGGTTAGTAATTATGTCTGTTGCAAAAATAATTCCTCTTATGTCTATAACTAGTAATTTGGACATATCTCTAATATTATATCTAGGTTAAAAGTAACTTAAAAGCTATATGAAATTTGTTTGTAACTTTTACACTTGATTATTAATTTTTCATACAGAAAGGTAAATTATATAACGTTAGATCTTGATATATAAATTCAGTGATTTTTAGACATGGTTAGTAACCACGTTTGAAATGCGAGTAAAAATTAATTAATTACTAATAAGTTTTCCATGGGGTTTGGTATATACCCAAAACAACAAAAAGTAATTTTCATAAATCAGATTCTAGCGACATTACATATAATTCAAATTTACGATTTTATCGAAAATAATGACTCCAAATCCATACCCATTATCTTGATTTATTAACTTATTAAACGGATAATTACTCAATAATCCATCTTTTTGCCTTTTCTTGGGGGTGTTTCGAATTAGGAGAACCGGATATATCAAGTAAACCGGTCATGTTTCCTTTTTTAGAACGACGGCGGCATTTAAATTCCTCCGTCTTCGCTCTCTTGCGGACACGCTCGAAACGCTGCTCTGTTCTTCCAACATTCACAGAGCTGAAGGATTTCTCTCAAGATTTCTCCCAAGATTTCTCTCAAGGTTAGTCAACTATTTTCTTACCCATTCCTCCATTGTTGTTGCCTATGATTCTGCTGCTGATTTGAAACGGGGTATATCGCTATTTGCTTTTCGCAGTTTCTTGACTGTCGCTTGCACTCCTAGCGATTTACTCTTCGATCGTTTTCACGATGGGGGAGTCGTTCGATGTCTGGAGAATATTCTTCAGAACCACGGACACTGACGTCTTCCAGTTCATAGACAAGGCGATCATGATCGCCGCTCTCGATTGCCCCGAAGATTTTCTGTCGCGAAGAGGCCGTATCGCGGAGCGGCTGTTCTCGTGTGAGACGACTCAGGCCGGAAGTGATGGCACACGCGCAACTAAAGAAAACAGGGCGAACAGCGACATGGGTAATGTTGCGCTTGATGGGGTTAGCAAAAACTGCAGCCATGGAGAAACTGAGGCAAACAGCGAGACCTCTCAACTTCTTGTCGGTCAAGTTCTGAGGATCAAGCGGGTTTTGGACAACAGTCAACATGAGGTGGGTGTCCTAACTCTGAATTTGGTGCCTGACTGGCGTGTTTATGATTCTTGTCCAATTTTTACCGGTTTAAATGGGTGTCTGTGATGAATGTATGGATAGATTATTAAAAGTTGTTTCGAGTTTTGTTAATTCTTGAAATCTTCTGTAGTGCATGCAATTCATGACTTATTTGCGTCTTTCTTGGTATGACAGTCTGATTCCGCACTATATGAATCACTGAGAAGGCTCCAGTCGATGAGCATCACCTTGGATATATTGGAGGTTTGATTGAAATTCTATATCGAGTAGTATATTCTTTTTGCATCGACAACTCGTATCTTAATTCATGTAATTTCTCTGGTTTCTCGCAGAAAACCAAGATTGGGATAAGCGTCAACAGTCTCCGAAGGAACTGCGGATCAAAGCAGATTGCTCAACTCGCCTGCGACATTACTATGTATGGAGCGTTCTTTTTGCATTGTGTCTGGATTATATTGCAGGATAAGTTCTTTTCATACAATTTGGTCTTGCAATAGCATGATGTTTCATACTCATTGTTCGATTCTTTTCCTTGCAGGGGATGGAAGGCTATGGTGGAAGATTTTTGCCGCAGCACAGAGGATGTGGCTGGTATTAAGTTACAGCACAAACAGTCTAGTTCTTTATCTTGAGTCTCCATATGGTGAATTTTCTTTACTGTGTGCTTGAGTTCTTTTTGTAGATCCTCACAAAGTAGGAGACGGAACAACATCTTCCGTCAAGAACCAGAACATCAGCAAACCGGGACAAATCAATGAGTCAGGTTCACTTGTTAACGGGAACCGGAGACTGAATGTGAACCAGCACAAGGGCATTGTGAAGCCCAATATGTCCTCAAACACTAACTCGAGGACAATCCCAGCAAGCGATATTGCGTCAAGGAAGTTTGCGAAGGAGAGAATGCTTAAGTTGCAAAGCTCACATCGACCGGTCGCGGGGTGCGAAAGACCACTTGGCAGTCGACAGGAGGTAAGTAGAAAAGCCAATTTAATATGCCCAGTATCCTTCCAATTAAAAGAACTGACTTGTTCACTTGGTTTCAATCAGAGGATCAAGGGCTGGGACGAAGTTGTGGCGGACATGAAGTTTCAAGCCACCAAGAGGAAGATGCAAGAACTTTATCAAAGAGCAGAAATGGGTTAGTTGATTGATTTCGTAGTATAGTCAGCTGCTGTTTCATAAACCTAATGCGTAGCAGGCCATAACTCTATTATTCCTACTCAACAGACAAGAGGCGGCGGACGGTGCAAGAATTGGATCCGCGTGATCTCCCAAAGATGGCGACGAGTCATAAGGCTTCGCGCGCCACAATTGCAAGAGGTAGTCGGCGGAGGATGATTTCGCGGAGCCGGGTCTCATGCGTCTGAAGACCAAAAGCCCCGCGCCGACAATTTTGCCACAAAGAGATCGAAGTTTCCGGACTTGGGATCAAGCAAGAGTCGAATATTGTTCATAGTCGTCCTCTTAGCTGTAGACGGATATAAGACAACTGAGAGTTGATCATTAGAGTAGTTTTGTAGGAGGTGTTGATGAATTCTTTGCCAAAAATTGTACATTGCAACCTGTCATCAATCAATACCTAAATTTTTTTTTTTGCCATGTGGATGCGAATACAGTTTCTTCCCCATATTGCATTTACTTTAGACCATGTAATCTGTGGCCATAAGAAATGGGTCACTAACACAGATTAGATGTGCTTATAAATCAGCTCCTTAAATTCCATTACAGAAAGGGAGACTGCCACTTTATCTATCCAAGCTAAAAGTCGTCGTTAAAAAACACTAAAATGCCACGAAGACTAGCAAAATGGAGATCGCAGATGAACATATGATAGATTCACATGAAATGTTGTTGTCTGTAGAATGAGAGAAAAAGGACGACACATCTGGAACCAACAACAAGGTAAAAAGATATCGCGAACACCACCCGATCCCGGACCTTCCAAAATGATATTAGCAAGTTCTTTTCCCTACCGGTCCAGTAGCCCCTTGATACTACCGCAGACACGTAATAACGCAATAACAAACACTCATGCATCCATTACACTTCCGCTGCTAACTCTCACACGTCATCCGGTATTTCCTCCTCCTCATCTTCATAATCGCCTTCCTCATCGGCAGTCGCATCTTGATATTGCTGATACTCGGACACGAGATCATTCATGTTGCTCTCCGCCTCGGTGAATTCCATTTCGTCCATTCCTTCACCGGTATACCAGTGCAAGAAAGCCTTTCTCCTGAACATGGCAGTGAACTGCTCGCTCACCCTCTTAAACATTTCCTGGATGGAAGTCGAATTCCCAGTGAATGTGGAAGCCATGGAAAGTCCCCTGGGAGGAATGTCGCACACGCTGGACTTCACATTGTTCGGAATCCACTCCACAAAGTAGGAAGAGTTCTTGTTCTGCACATTTATCATTTGCTCATCAACCTCCTTGGTACTCATCTTGCCCCTGAACATGGCCGACGCAGTAAGGTAGCGACCGTGCCTTTTGTCAGCAGCGCACATCATGTTCTTGGAATCCCACATCTGTTGTGTGAGTTCTGGCACTGTCAATGCGCGATACTGCTGGGAACCGCGAGAGGTCAGTGGCCCGCCGTACTTGACCTCGCGCGCCGTACTCGACCTCACGCGCCGCCCTCCCCGGAGAAACACGAAAGTTCATCCAAAAGATTTCGACCCCGACGCGCCGCCTCCTAGGTTCTGCCCCCCCACCGCCCCCCACGCGCCGCCCCTCGCGCTCTTGGCCAATCTACCTGAGAGCTCGAGGGAAGATTCTCCTCTCGAGATCTGCTGCAGAGGCGTCTCCTTGGGGTTGCGATTTTGTCAATTTTGTTAACGTTCGTAGCCACCGCCACGACGAAGTTCACCCATTTGTTCTCAAGGGTGCTCGCTTCAAATATCAGACCCAGTGAATTCAAATTCGGCACCGCAATTCATTCGTCGAAGAAAAATGTGGTTTCACGGAATGCAGTGGTTTGTGGTCATAGCCAAGCTGGTCACTTAAAATGTACCTACCATTGGAAAGCACCATGCAATTGGAATAAGCTGAAGGCAAGAAAAATCTCCAATTATTCACTTTGAATTTTGCTCGGGGAGCAATTAAGCCCCCATTGTCATTTTTGCATTTCTTGAATTTTCAGTCATTCGTTCCACTACTTTAGAAGCAGATTTGGGAACTGCCTTGTTATCTTAATCAACTGATTTAGCACTTAAAAACAATCATTTATGGACTTGCCTATGAGTCTTGGCTTTACATTAGATTCCGAATTTAATGAACCTTAAAAGCATACATGGGATCTTCCTGCATGCTCACAAATGGCAGTTGCGGAAATTTCTTTACCTTTCTATTGTGGGGTCTTGCATGCTCACATATGGTAAATGGGGCAATTTTTTTAGTACCCGTTTTACCCCTAATATCCAAATAAATCATTTATATTTTCTAATATAATTTTCTTTTTGCACACGTTGACAATTAATCATCTTTGTTTTGTTGTCCATTAGGCACGATGATTGTCTTGATGTTAGAGACTTTCTCCACAAACGTTGCATGATTGATTCTTTGCAAAGTGACAAACCGAGAATCCGACCGGTTCTCAATTGGTACGAGGTAATTTGTCACGTGATGAGATAATGATATCTAATAATGTGTTGATATGGTATCACCAAATCAATCGAAATATTTTTATTTTTAGAAAATCTAATTTATTGTCATCAGCGGTGGAGTGACTTTTTGGGGCTGGAATGTCGATAGAACTTCGGGAGAGCAAACAAAAACCCAATTTTTGTGTTTCACTGGATTCACTGGGTAGGACCATGATTCTAATAGTAGTATTACTTGTAATAAAGATATCTCAGTTTCTAACAACATAGTTTATTAAATTGGGATGCAAATTGTCAATCGGAACCTTAAAATGATGAATCGTATCGTGGATAGGAATCGAATTGAATCGTAAGAGCAGTTAGTAAAACACTTCAATTTAATGAAGTACTATTTAATATGAATATATTAGTGGGATCCATGCCTTATAATAAAGATATCTCAATTTTGAGTACATGTTATGAATACTGTGCATAAATAGATACTGTTACTCGCCACCGTTTAAACCGAAAGATTACATTGAAGATCATGGCAAATTCTTAAAAGCGTTATTATTTTAAATTATTATTTTAACTACATAAACAATATCCATCATAAAGTACGAAAAGAAAAGGCAACATCATTTCGTGGTAGATATGTCGAATTAAAAATATTCGTGAGCGAGTCGATAGAATTTTTTCTCGCAATTCAATAAATTGTGGGTTCACATAATATTAGATACATTGTTCAGATTAAAATCAAATTGTAAGAAATAGATTGGGAATCAACTGATCCTCAGCCTAAGGCAATTGTAGTTGATCACTTTATCCCGTCAATATCTTTCAACCAACCAAATAATGGGGAAATTGTCTAAATCAATCCTAAATCTATTGTGCGAATGTCAATTCAGTACTAAAATATCCAATTTTGCCAATTTAGTCCTAAGCCTTTCACGAAATTCTAATGTAACCCTTACGATCAAATTTCTTTGGAAATTGCCAATGTGGTAGCGTACCATGTAACATAGTCAATGACTATTGAACCACCGCATCAGCGATTTTCAATGAAAATTGATTGGAATGATTACATTAAAATTCTGCACAATTTTAAGACTAAATTGGCAAAATAGTGCAGACTGAATTGACATCCGTGCAGTAGATTTAAAATTGATTGGATAATTTTCCCCCAAAATAATTCCAGAAGGGAGATATTTAAGAGACTATTTGTCTTTATGGTTTCTTACAAATAAAATTAGTTGTGTCTTTTGTAAAACATTGTTCTTGAAAATATAAATTCTGAACTCTTGGTGTTTTTATCTAAAAAAGAAAAATTGAGATCATGGAGTATAGTAAAATACTATTAAGTATATTTTCTTCCCGAAAGGCAAATGCTAGAGGACAACAGCTTTTACTTCTGGCTTTTCCAAATAAATTTTTGACGCCAAAAAGTTAAGGGTAAAGAAATCCCAAAAAAGTTTCTAAAATTATCGCTACATTAAAATAGCTTTCATTTGACTAAATTTAGCTTATTGAAAAATTAAGATAAAGGTGGATATGTGTGGTCAGTTCCAAATAAATTTTAATATCGAAATTTTTTTTTGACAATATACGATAGATTTTAAGAAAGAGATTAGTGAGATTAGATATGTAAAATTTGATGAAAGTTAGTTCCTTCAAAAATTATGAGAAATGTAGATTATGCAATGTCAGTTCCATAAAGATTCTAATGATTCATACAGAATAATAACCCGAATAATCCTCTTCGGATTAATTTTTCTCATGCTAATATCGAATATTTAGTGGTAGAAACTTATTAACTTTTTGTCTCCTTTTTAGTAAATTCTCAAGTTTAAATTCAGTCTGCCATAAGTTAGTTAGTAACTTTTAAACATGGTTTGTCATTCTGTGCACACCAAAGTGACCATTTTTTTTTTCCATATTGGTTAGTAATTATGTCTGTTGCAAAAAAAAAATTCCTCTTATGTCAATAACTAGTAATTTGGACATATCTCTAATATTATATCTAGGTTAAAAGTAACTTAAAAGCTATATGAAATTTGTTTGTAACTTTTACACTTGATTATTAGTTTTTCATACAGAAAGGTAAATTATATAAGGTTAGATCTTGATATATAAATTCAGTGATTTTTAGACATGGTTAGTAACCACGTTTGAAATGCGAGTAAAAATTAATTAATTACTAATAAGTTTTCCATGGGTTTGGTATATTACCCAAAACAACAAAAAGTAATTTTCATAACTCCGATTCTAGCGACATTACATATAGTTCAAATTTACGAATTTATCGAAAATAATTACCCCAAATCCATACCCATTATCTTGATTTGTTAACTAATTAAACGGATAATTAGTCAATAATCCATCTTTTTGCCTTTTCTTGGGGGTGTTTCGAATTAGTAGAACCGGATATCAAGTAAACCGGTCATGTTTCCTTTTTTAGAACAACGGCGGCATTTAAATTCCTCCGTCTTCGCTCTCTTGCGGACACGCTCGAAACGCTGCTCTGTTCTTCCAACATTCACAGAGCTGAAGGATTTCTCTCAAGATTTCTCCCTCCCAAGGTTAGTTTAACTATTTTCTCTTACCCATTCCTCCGTTGTTGTTGCCTGTGATTCTGCTGCTGATATGAAACGGGGTGTATCGTTATTTGCTTTTCTCAGTTTCTTGACTGTCGCTTGCACTCCTAGCGATTTACTCTTCGATCGTTTTCACGATGGGGGAGTCGTTCGATGTCTGGAGAATATTCTTCAGAACCACGGACACCGACGTCTTCGAGTTCATAGACAAGGCGATCACGATCGCCGCTCTAGATTGCCCCGAAGATTTTCTGTCGCGAAGAGGCCGTATCGCAGAGCGGCTGTTCTCGTGTGAGACGACTCGGGCCGGAAGTGATGGCACACGCGCAACTAAAGAAAACAGGGCGAACAGCGACATGGGTAATGTTGCGCTTGATGGGGTTAGCATAAACTGCAGCCACGGAGAAACTGAGGCAAACAGCGAGACCTCTCAACTTCTTGTCGGTCAAGTTCTGAGGATCAAGCGGGTTTTGGACAACAGTCAACATGAGGTGGGTGTCCTAACTCTGAATTTGGTGCCTGACTGGCGTGTTTATGATTCTTGTCCAATTTTTACCGGTTTAAATGGGTGTCTGTGATGAATGTATGGATAGATTATAAAAAGTTGTTTCGAGTTTTGTTAATTCTTGAAATCTTCTGTAGTGCATGCAATTTATAACTTATTTGCATCTTTCTTGGTATGACAGTCTGATTCCGCACTATATGAATCACTGAGAAGGCTCCAGTCGATGAGCATCACTTTGGATATATTGGAGGTTTGATTGAAATTCTATATCGAGCAGTATATTCTTTTTGCATAGACAACCCGTATCTTATTCATGTAATTTCTTCGATTTCTCGCAGAAAACTAAGATTGGGATAAGCGTCAATAGTCTCCGAAGGAACTGCGGATCAAAGCAGATTGCTCAACTCGCCTGCGACATTACTATGTATGGAGTGTTCTTTTTGCATTGTGTCTGGATTATATTGCAGGATAAGTTCTTTTCATACAATTTGGTCTTGCAATAGCATGATGTTTCATACTCATTGTTCGATTCTTTTCCTTGCAGGGGATGGAAGGCTATGGTGGAAGATTTTTGCCGCAGCACAGAGGATGTGGCTGGTATTAAGTTACAGCACAAACAGTCTAGTTCTTTATCTTGAGTCTCCATATGGTGAATTTTCTTTACTGTGTGCTTGAGTTCTTTTTGTAGATCCTCACAAAGTAGGAGACGGAACAACATCTTCCGTCAAGAACCAGAACATCAGCAAACCGGGACAAGTCAATGAGTCAGGTTCACTTGTTAACGGGAACTGGAGACTGAATGTGAACCAGCACAAGGGCATTGTGAAGCCCAATATGTCCTCAAACACTAACTCGAGGACAATCCCAGCAAGCGATATTGCGTCAAGGAAGTTTGCGAAGGAGAGAATGCTTAAGTCGCAAAGCTCACATCGATCGGTCGCGGGGTGCGAAAGACCACTTGCCAGTCAACAGGAGGTAAGTAGAAAAGCCAATTTAATATGCCCAGTATCCTTCCAATTAAAAGAACTGACTTGTTCACTTGGTTTCAATCAGAGGATCAAGGGCTGGGACGAAGTTGTGGCGGACATGAAGTTTCAAGCCACCAAGAGGAAGATGCAAGAACTTTATCAAAGAGCAGAAACGGGTTAGTTGATTGATTTCGTAGTATAGTCAGCTGCTGTTTCATAAACCTAATGCGTAGCAGGCCATAACTCTATTATTCCTACTCGACAGACAAGAGGCGGCGGACGGTGCAAGAATTGGATCCGCGTGATCTCCCAAAGATGGCGACGAGTCGTAAGGCTTCGCGCGCCACAATTGCAAGAGGTAGTCGGCGGAGGATGATTTCGCGGAGCCGGGTCTCATGCGTCTAAAGACCAAAAGCCCCGCGCCGACAATTTTGCCACAAAGAGATCGAAGTTTCCGGACTTGGGATCAAGCAAGAGTCGAATATTGTTCATAGTCGTCCTCTTAGCTGTAGACGGATATAAGACAACTGAGAGTTGATCATTAGAGTAGTTTTGTAGGAGGAGGTGTCGATGAATTCTTTGCCAAAAATTGTACATTGCAACCTGTCATCAATCAATACCTAAATTTTTTTTTTGCCATGTGGATGCGAATACAGTTTCTTCCCCATATTGCATTTACTTTAGACCATGTAATCTGTGGCCATAAGAAATGGGTCACTAACACAGATTAGATGTGCTTATAAATCAGCTCCTTAAATTCCATTACAGAAAGGGAGACTGCCACTTTATCTATCCAAGCTAAAAGTCTGTCGTTAAAAAACACTAAAATGCCACGAAGACTAGCAAAATGGAGATCGCAGATGAACATATGATAGATTCACATGAAATGTTGTTGTCTGTAGCATGAGAGAAAAAGGACGACACATCTGGAACCAACAACAAGGTAAAAAGATATCGCGAACACCACCGACCTTCCAAAATGATATTAGCAAGTTATTTTCCCTACCGGTCCAATAGCCCCCTGATACTACGGCAGACATGTAATAACGCAATAACAAACACTCATGCATCCATTACACTTCCGCTGCTAACTCTCACACGTCATCCGGTATTTCCTCCTCCTCATCTTCATAATCACCTTCCTCATCGGCAGTCGCATCTTGATATTGCTGATACTCGGACACGAGATCATTCATGTTGCTCTCCGCCTCGGTGAATTCCATTTCATCCATTCCTTCACCGGTATACCAGTGCAAGAAAGCCTTTCTCCTGAACATGGCAGTGAACTGCTCGCTCACCCTCCTAAACATTTCCTGGATGGAAGTCGAATTCCCAATGAATGTGGAAGCCATGGAAAGCCCCCTGGGAGGAATGTCGCACACGCTGGACTTCACATTGTTCGGAATCCACTCCACAAAGTAGGAAGAGTTCTTGTTCTGCACATTTATCATTTGCTCATCGACCTCCTTGGTACTCATCTTGCCCCTGAACATGGCCGACGCAGTAAGGTAGCGACCGTGCCTTGGGTCAGCAGCGCACATCATGTTCTTGGAATCCCACATCTGTTGTGTGAGTTCTGGCACTGTCAATGCGCGATACTGCTGGGAACCGCGAGAGGTCAGTGGGGCAAAACCAACCATAAAGAAGTGCAGGCGAGGGAAGGGAATCAGGTTAACGGCAAGTTTCCTCAGGTCAGAGTTCAGTTGACCAGGGAAACGGAGGCAACACGTAACTCCACTCATGGTTGCAGAGATCAAGTGGTTCAGATCGCCAACTACAAAAGTATCAGAAAAACCAAGCCAAGATTTCAGGCAATCACTAATTGTCAATATGTAATACATGACAGGAAGGACAACAAAAGCATGGGACAGTAGTCTAAAGTAAAGTGCCCAATAATACAACACTATTCCATAGCCCAAGAAGATAGAAATAAAGTGCATACTTATTAAACTATTCATATTTCATTAGTTTAAATTGAACAGACCAGGCTAAAGAACTCACGATATGCTTAGTGAATCGTAAAAAAGGCTACAATTCAATAAGCCAATAGAAAACAGTAAACACTAGATTCTAGACAATTTGCAATGGTGCCTGCGTGTATGAATTTCTATTGTTTCGGCCACTTTTCTCTTGCAAATGCACCTCAGCATGCCAGATGTAAACCAAATAGATCAAATAGAGTTGACCATGAAGAAACTACATCTAAGGCCAAGAAATCTTGTCTACTTACAGCTAGGAGTTGTCAGCTTGAGTGTCCGGAAACAAATATCATACAGAGCTTCATTGTCCAGAACCATGCATTCATCTGCATTCTCGACAAGTTGATGGACAGAAAGGGTGGCATTGTAAGGCTCGACCACTGTATCGGAAACCTTAGGAGAAGGGAACACAGAGAATGTCAGCATCATCCTATCAGGGTATTCCTCCCTGATTTTTGAGATGAGCAAAGTGCCCATTCCAGAGCCAGTTCCTCCACCAAGTGAATGGCATACTTGGAAACCTGCATAAAGACCACCCAAAGTTAGGGCATCTCCACACCGTAGATGAATAAAATACTTTTGAAGTTATTCCTATAACTTGAAGTCCCCTATCTGCATCAGTCAAGAACCAACTAAAAGGAAAGGAAATCAACACATTAAATGTAGTAGACGACAGTAAAATGAGATTATTTACCCATAGCTCATGAATTGATGACATTTGTCCCGAGAAATAAGGTGCGAGTAAATGTAGCATGAAGTGATCCATAAGGAGTAGATATAGTATCTCTTAAATGTTTATTAGCTACAGATGTAAGTTTATCAACTTAAAATTACTGGAGTCTACCAACGTAGAACAAATGATGAAGTGCAACGCAATCAATCTTTACCTTGAAGACAGTCGCAGTTCTCAGCCTCCTTTCTCACAACATCAAGAACTGCATCAATAAGCTCAGCGCCTTCAGTATAGTGCCCCTTGGCCCAGTTATTTCCAGCACCGGATTGCCCAAAGACAAAATTATCAGGCCTGAAGATCTGCCCATAGGGACCAGTTCGAATGCTATCCATGGTGCCCGGTTCAAGATCCATCAGCACAGCTCGAGGAACAAATCTACCGCAAGATGCCTCATTGTAGTAGACATTGACACGCTCGAGCTGCAGCTCAGATGTCCCGACGTAACGTCCAGTCGGATCTATCCCGTGCTCTTCACAGACGACTTCCCAGAATTTGGCTCCGATCTGGTTACCACATTGTCCACCCTGAACATGAAGGATCTCCCTCATCTTGCCTGCGTACATTACAGAGTAAAATCAGCATCAACGGCACGGGACAATGACCAAAGTCAAGTTCACATTGTTCATTACACCTAACTTAGCGGAATGCAATATAGACGATAACCACTTTTAAGTCACGTTATTTACCCAAGCACAACAGATCATAGGAATGACAAACAGAGCGACCGAGGCGGCAAGATAGATCACGACAGTCTAGGCATTAGATCGTAGAGTTCTCTTTCCCTGACAAAGAAAATGTATGATACTGCCGCGTGACCAGCTATTCATCTGAAAATCAAGCCAACTTACTCGTGAAACAAGACAACCTCTCACTTCATTCACGCAATACGAAACTCCAGTCACGTCGCTAGATCTTGAAGATGCAACTCACATCAGAAGATTTCAGCACAACAAACACGAATCCGTGTTTCCAGCAGTTTCTGCAGCCAGATCGGACAGTCCGATCAAATGCAGACCGGAAAAATCACGACCGGTCAACGGATCTACAACTCGAGAGCACGCGCGAGCCGCAACTTCCACAGATCATACGCAAAAAACGATTTACCAAGCGAAGCTCTCACCGATTGCTCGGGAAAAAAGAAGAAGATCGCGATCCACAACAGCTCGAACCAGCATCGACACACACACACACACACACACACACACACAAACGCCGCATCGACACGGATTTCGCAGCAGAAGCACGCGGATCGAAAGCATTTCCAGCCACACAGCATTCGAATCGGCCGAGCGAGCACAAACGCCACGCGAACGACGACCGATCCACCACGAGATCTACTCGATTCTCCCAAGGAAAAACGAGAAGAGGAAACGGAGCACGACGAAGCATCGTCGTTGACAGAGCGCGCGACGGAACTCACCGGAAACGCAGGCCACAGTCCGGAGGATCGGACGGGATTTGGAGACCGGAGAGCGAGCGAGCGACTGAAGCGAGACTGGAGAGAGTGGTGGATGTAGTGAAGATAAGAAGAAGGTGTTTGCCGACTGAGAGATTCATATTTATATACGCGAGGGAAGAGTCGCACGGTTTCGCTAGATCCGACGGCCAGCGTCGTTTCGCTCCCTTTTTTCACGATGAGGTCCCCGCGGATGCCGTCCGATGGAGACAGCGGACGGCTTGGATTCGATTTTACCCTCTCTTTTTTTTTTTTGAAAACAAAATGTTTGACGAAATTTAATGTGGTCCGACGATTATGTACTCCGAGGTGTCGTCGGTCGGGTTTAGATGATCCGGATCCACTCGACTACTTTTGCTCCGTATATGCATTCCGTACGTCATCCAACCGTCGGTATTGAATTCACATGCACTCGATTTGTTTTTAATGGCAGCTCCTACTCGTGAGGAGCGATCGTATTCGAAAATTTTTATTTGGTGCTCGGGAATCGATATCTTCATATACATCCGGGTCATCAAATCGAATGTTTGAGATATCACGGATAACACTTTGAATGACTTGTATCCCAAACTACGCCGAGAGCAACCTCATAAGCCTTTCATCGGTTGTTGGCCCATCAATGGTGACGTCATAAGCCACCGGAGGAGCGAGACGGGTTTTGAGAGAGTCATAATTAATAAATACATCTCGAATCCGCAAGCTCGACATTGATTTCAAATGTAGTTTCCCTAAGTTGCTGCGATACATCACATCAATAGAGATGGTTAGACCATCGAGTAAGGAAAATCACGTGAAAATTGGCCCGAGGGACTTGATTGCGCTTTGATCGCATTTCCTTACAAAAATCCATGACTACATTGAATCAATTGAAAGGTTAATTACGTTACATACAGCAAATCCATATACAAGATACTATTTCATTTCCAAAGCAAGGACAATTATATCATCCCTTGAAAGATCAATCCGTCGGTGACAACAAATCGGTATTTCGTACATTTTATTTGAATTTTTTATATGTAAAGTACCCCACCATGTAAAAACTTATAGAGTTCCCAATTAGGTGGAGTTTTTTTTTTTTGTTTTCATCTCGCGATCCAACGGTGGAGATTGGAATGATTTCTTGAAGCGCCAATAATAAAAGTGGACATTTTCTGGGGTAGCAGGGGAGTTAGGAGAGGGTTAGTGGTCCAAGAATTTGCGGCAGATCACATGAGGGGACCAAATCGACATGTGACCTGCCAAGTTGTGCCAGCCAAGATGTCGGACTCACTCCCATCCTCCTAACCATGGTTAGGATGTGACCAGGCAACCCGGTTAATCTGGGCACCCAATCATATAAGATGGGAGAGGAATCCATCATGCTTGCTTGGTTTGGGGTGTAAGCATCTTTTTTTACTGCTTATCTTTATTAAATTGGGGAGGGACTACTTCAGTCACAACAAGACCAACTGTGCTTGATCTGATTATTATCTCTAAGCTACAATTTTTTTTAATTGGAGGATGTGGGACAACAGGTGTCATTAAGTGGGAGGGTATTCATAATTTATCGAGTCGCAATTACACCCGTCTCGTATTATACGAGCATAGTGTATTTTAATTCAGTCGCCACGGCTCGTTATTTCCCATAAAAAAAAAATACCAAGATAGTTTTCATGTGAGCACTCATGGTGCGTTTTGAAATTAATGGAGCGCGCATGTTGATGTACATTCATTTTCATTGTTGATGCCCATAAGAAGAATTTTATATGATCACCTACATATAGTTGTGATCGATCTAACTTCTATTCATAACATGACAAGATATCTTACTTTAGATAGGCAAATCTTCAATTTATGAAATATGATGGACGGGGTAAGATACGGGCCTGAGCCCATATGAGTGACGATACAAACTTGTTTGCACTTGATGATGTAAGGGATTGAATCTGTGCCACACGAGTAAACCATACATATATTCGACCTTAACCACTAAGCCAACCCGTGACTAATCATCTATTAGAGAAGCACATTGAAGAAACCGTAAACGTTAAAGTGGCTCGGCCCTCTAGCTTCACACTTATAGTGACTTATGGAGTCGATTCTACATATCAGATTAAGGGTGCGTTTGCTTGAATAAAAGAATTTCTACCGGATTAGTTTTCCGAACTTTCACACATTTATTTTGTTGAAAAATGATAAGTTGACCGGAAAATCATTTTCGGTCGAAGAAAACACCCATGCTTAAAATTAGGAAAATGAATTCTCTCATCTGGGCAGGGGAAAACATTTTCCTTTAACAAGAAATTATATCCGAAACAAACACAACTCCGAATGACTTTTGGATTTGATACGAAACAAATTCATTCTCATCTCGACAGAGAATTCATTTGGGAAAATGATACAAATAGTCCCTGAACTTTGGCCCAATGTGTAATGTAGTCCCTACATTGAACATTTTTATATAGTTCAAGAACTAAATTGAACATGTACCAAAAGTCAATGGACCACATCAAACAAAATTAAAAGTTCATAGACCACATTGTACATTGGGTTAAAGTTCAGGGACCACATTGAATAAATTAAAAGTTTATGAACCACATTGTACATTGGACTAAAATTCGTGGGCTTTTTGTGTCATAATCCCAATTCATTTCGAACTCTAGTGTTGCTTTCGGCCCCCCCGAGAGCATTGTAAAATCTTACAATTGACCTATCTCGGCCCAATTGCAATCCGCTAGTGCACGAGCCATCTGAGGCACGGAGAGGGAGAGAGAAGAGAGGTGGCAAGAGCCATTTGGTCCAGTTGATATAATGAGATTGGGCTTGAAAAGAGGCTGCTGCTTCTGTTCTTGTCAATCCATCATCTTGCCATGCTCTAATCCCTAAACTCTTTTGGGCCATATCAGCCTCTACTTCCTCTTTTGCTTATTATATCATTCATGAACTGAATTTTCTCCATTCACAGTCCTCATCGGGTCTCTCAAGTCTCCCATCATCTTCTCTTCTTTGGCTCTTTTCCTGCTAGCCGGCCGAAGCCCGCGAAGAAGGCCTGCGAGTCCGAACCCGCGGGACGCTTTGCCGATCTTACAGGACCGGGCAAGGCGCGATAAGACAAAAGCTCGAGCAGACGACCCGAAGACAAAACCGTGTATGTTCGGTGCCGTGGGAATTAGAGCTAAGTTTCCCTGATTCCTCAAGCGAAACTGTTACGTAGATTTGACCTCGTGTGCATCCAAAGATCACATAATGCGAAACCCCCCAACTTTGACTATCCAAAGTCCAACATAACGTCCGCATCTACATCTTATTATTATATGCTATCTAGACCATAGCAATGTCTTTCCGTTGATCGATGCCAAAAGAGCCAGTCGTTTTCAACCGCTCCCCGAATCTATATCCTCATCCATGCACGTTCCCCTAATTGACTTCCTATCCCTTCTCTCTTTACACCCCGGGGCGGTGCTTCGGGCCGGCCTCCGCGTAAACCCGAAGGCGGGTCGGTAGTCAAATATCGCGACCGAACCGGACCTGTAAGATCCGGACCACGGGTCGGACTTCTTCAAGCTCCGACGGCATTGTCTCGAGAGATCGACCTGAGCACTTGCGAGAATTGAACCCGAGACCTCATATTCGCGTCTCCGAGACTTGGCAATATCTTTAGGGATTATCTTTACCCATTCTTAGAAACTATATATAGAGAATTAGAGTTGGGTCTACTTAGCGCTTAGATGCATGTGAGGGGGGTGGCCACGGGCTATAAGAGAAGGGGGCCAGATAGAGAGTAGAGATTGCACGATTCCGGAGCAACACAATGCAAACAAAATCGCAAGAATGGGTCCTACCCATGTGAAGAAGGCGCTGAGGATTTGCAATCAAAGCGTGTAATCATGGCTTTTTACCATAATCAAAGGAGATGATCGAAAGGCTTCTCTGCGAAGTTGGAAAGAATGGACGCCATTGCTCGGCTGACTTTTTTCAATCACTCTCCTGATTGATTTATCGTACTTAATTTGCTTTCGTAAAGAAGGTAGAAACGTGCCAATGGCCATGCGGCCCTGCTGGTAAAGAAATTTGATGGGTGGAAACGCTAGTAACACAGATGCAGGGTTCGACTCCCGCGCTTTACAAGAAACAGAACAAAAGCATGAGAGAGAAGAGAGTTAGAAATAAGTCAGACAAAAAAAAAAGAAAAAGACAGAAACGCTAGACAACCCGAGTTGAAATTGGGGGCCCCGACATTGCACCCGGTTCGTTTGGTTGAGCGGTTGCATGTTTTGTCGGAGCATGCTTTCTTTTGTTTATGGTGAGGGCCTTGTAAAGTGCATGTGAAGCTTGAAACATAAGCATTTTACCATTGACTAAGGGCCTGTTTGGCAACTTGTCAAATAGTAAAAATTTCTGTTCTTT